TTTGAGACAGAGCCTCAAACTATCCCCCTGGGTAGAGTGCTGTGGCATCACAGCTCACAGCAACCTCAAACACCTGGGCTCAAGCAAGTCTCCTCCCTCAGCCTCCCAAGTAGCTGGGACCACAGGTGCCCACCACAATGCCCAGCTATTTTTTAGCTGCAGCCGTAATTGTTGTTTTTGGGGGGCCTGGGCTGAATTCGAACCCGCCACCCTAATTAGGTGTATGTGGCTGGCACCTTAGCCACCTGAGCCACAGGCACTGAGCCATGGTTTTTTTTTTTTTAATTGAATATACTGATGCTGTTTTCTACCTCTTTTTTGCCCAGGGATTATGTTTAAACAGAAACAGGCTATGGTGGAACCTGAACATTTGGGACATTTGGATTCTCCCTGGGTTCCCCAGCTGCCTGGAGACCTTTTCCCTCAGAAATCTGGGCTCTTGCAGCCTGAGTGATCCCTTCAAAAGACAGATCTTTTCCCAATTGTACTCATTTATCTAGGGATTTAATGTTTAAAACCTTATTTTTTTTTTCAACAGTATTCAAAACAAATTTCACACTTCAAAATTCAGAAGCCAAACAAGCAGCTTGGACAGGTGTGGATATGACTGTGCAGGACAGGGATGGGGCAGAACAGGGGAAAGACAGGGCCTCAGGGAGCTGGAGGGGCTGAAGTAGTGCAGGGCATCACTGAATCCTTGCCCACCCCTTGTAAGTTACCCCCGAGGTTTCTACTCAACAGGGTCAGAAATGGTTCCCCCAGAGATCCTCCCTTGGAGCCACTCAAGATTCCAAACCCAGAAGCGTGAGGTGGATTAACAAAGTCCTGGAGCAAGGTAATGGCAGAGTCAAGGTGAGCCCCCAGGTCTGACGCTCTCCCACCCCTTCTAACCCCATCCTTGGTTTTTCCCACTATTTGGGAAAGGAAATTTGGTTTTGTTAAAAGCAACCTCTGAAGTTACCTTTCATGTAGAAAGCAGATCACTCAAGCTTTGAAAGAAGTTGCATTCATAAACTTATATTTTTATTCTTTCTGTACATATTGGCAATGATAAAGCTTAAAGATGCATGTCCTATGAAATATGCAAAACAAGGAATTTACATAAATAATTTATACTTCAGAAAATTAAAGTTGAAAAATATTTTCCACATTATTAGAGTTCACAGTATTTAAAGTAAATCAAGCTATCGCCCTTATATTTCAAACTATATTGTCTTAGCAGAAAATGGTAAAACCTAATCAGAAATAAAATGATCAAGTTTCTGTTTTTATTCAGTGCACAAGTATGCGCTATTTCAGCATTGGGCTGCTCAAGCACTGAGCTGCGGTTCTTTACCCCAACCCTCTCCCTCCTGAGTGGCTGTGACCCGGCAAAGGTCACACGACATGGAATGGTCACAGCATCATCAAACCACTCCACAGTGCACACATTCAACCAAGTGGTAACGTCTGGTGGTCTGATGCCTCATTTCCACATAATACTTTTTATAGCCCTGAAAATGGAAACCTTGGCATCTAAACACAGCTGAACATGTTAACACTAATACAAGGCACTGTGCTATGGGTCTGGTTTATTTACAGGAAGATGTTTGCATAGCTTGCTAGCGATTTAGAGTGCAATAAAATAGAGGGGCCAGCCAGCGTGGCTCTGTGACAGATGAAGCTGCAGGGTACTCCTTCAGTCCCCGAGGCGCGCAGTCTCTCATTCTCCTGTCCCAGGCTGGGGGACGGGTCCCCTGGTGCCATCCTCCTCTGTCCTCTCGGATCCCCTACAGGAGAGTCTTTTGCTCAAAAAGCTGCAGGTCAAAGCGGACCCAGACCTCCCCGGTGGGGACCTCATGCAGCAGCAGTCGGCGGGTCGTAGGGCCTTTGCTTTCCTGTTCTGTTCGAATTTTTGCCACTGGGACTTCAGTCCGACCCAGGAAATCTGGTGAATAAACATCATATGAGAGCCAGAAATCTTTTTTCTTTATAAGATTACTTTAAAACTACACCAGGAGTAGATTCATAAAACTTTCATGGCCAAAACAAGAGGGATTTCTTTAGATATGACTTTTTTTTTTTTTTTTTTTTTTTTTTTTGAGACGGAGCCTCAAGCTATCCCCCTGGGTAGAGTGCCATGGCATCGCGCTCACAGCAACCTCCAACTCCTGGGCTCAAGCGAGTCTCCTGCCTCTGCCTCCCAAGTAGCTGGGACCACAGGCGCCCGCCACAACGCCCGGCCATTTTTTGGTTGCAGCCGTCATTGTTGTTTGGCGGGTCCGGGCTGGGGATTCGAACCCACCACCTCAGGTGTACGTGGCTGGCGCCCTAGCCGGTTGAGCCACAGGCGCCGAGCCTAGATATGACTTTTAAATCCAATTACAACTTTCACTAGAATTAAATTGTAGTCCAACTACTTCCTTTCAGTTTTTGATATTGTGAATGGCTGTGTGCAGAATGATGACAGGTTCACGTGAGAGAAGCTGCAGAGCTGGAATTCAAGTCTCTCTGGCCTGAGAATGTTCTATGCATTCAAGATGCACCAGGAGCACAGGGTTGACAAGATGTGTGTGTGTGGAAACACACCCAAGGCCTCCCCACCAACCCCAAGGAAGGCGAAAGCGAGCTGACCTAGGCCTGTGTCATTTCCCTGAGGTGCTACGAGGCAGACATGCAGCTGAGCACCCTGGATCCAGACTCCAGGATCTAGAAACCCGGGAAAACCTTCAGATCTCCCAGCTGAGCTGTACTTACCATCTGGTGAAAACTGGTCTCTGTCAAACATGGTGAGACAGAGCACATCTTGGTAAAGATCCTTAATAAAGAACTGGCAGTTAAAATTCCACTTGGGATTTAACGTGTCCTGGATGGTTCTGGTGGTGTAGCTCTGAGAGCCCATGCTGATTTCGCAGTATGGGTTGCTCTTTCCTGAACAAAAAGAAACCACAGATGCATATGGCACATGTAGATAAAATGAAGTGACAGGCCATCCTTGAGCAGAAGCAGAATCCAAAATGCTGCTGTGCTACAGACCATGGCTCCCACTGCCTGGGGGACCACGTACACCTAGTAGTCCAGCAATATAGTCCCTGTATTCCCAGCACTGACAGCTGTGCAGACCTGGGTGCAACTGTGAGCTCTAACACCAGGATTGCTCCCTGCATCATAAAACCTGGCACATGTTTTCTTGATGCACAAGCACTCAGAAAAGCAGGCAGTAGTACTTACAGGGAAACAGTGATAACACTAGTGCGATAAACTAGCTTATTACCATTTTGGTGGCACCAGACACAAAGACTTAAAAAGCATCTGCGGCCAGGGCACGGTAGCTTACACCTGTAGTCCCAGCTACTTGAGAGGCTGAGGCAGGAGGATTGGTCATTTGAGCCCAGGACTTTGAGGCTGCAGTTAGCTGTGATTGTGCCACTGCCTGGGTGACAAAGTAAGATCTTTCTCCAAAAAATAAATAAATAAAATTCTATCGTTCAATGTTTAGAGGAATGAACAGCAGAAAATAGGGTAGTTACCATTTAGTTGAATAAGAAAAGCATTTACCATTTGGTTTACAAGCTTTCAATTCTGTAGCTTCAATGACGTGTACCATCAGGCGCCCGATGCCTGAAGCCTTTTGAGAGCGGGCTATGAGAGAAGGAGATAAGTCACGTTAACCTCTTCCCTGAGAACGCAGACAGTGCAGCGATGACTAAGCTGTGCATACTCACGATCTGAATTTCTAACAAACTGTAACACTACAGCCCCCACTTGCATGGCACTGGGCCCAGCAGCTCGGTATCCTCAGGCTGTTGCCTGCTGTCTCTGCCTGTCAAGCATCCCACTCATCCTCCAAGATCCAGGCCCAATCTCTCACTCATCTCCCAGACCTTTCCGTCCTCTGTGCATCTATTACCCTTCACTTATGAGCACCCCACAGCCTGCTAGGTCTGAACCTAATACTGTCTCCTCTGCCACAGAGAGGCTGTTGTAGAGCATGGACTGTTTTATCCATCCTTGCATTAACCCCCTCAATTGCCTAGCAAATAGTAGTAATAAAATCGTAACATAGGATATTTGTCCAGCTTAATAGCAGCTAACATTTATTGGATACTTACTTTGTATTAGGAAATGTGCTAAACCTTTTCATAAATTATATTATTAAAATTGCATAGTTACCTTATAAGGTAGCTCCCCACTTTACAGATAAGAAAAACTGAGGCTTAGAAAGGACTGTGATTAACATGCTCAACTCAGAGCTGCTAAATGGGAGGGTCAAAATTTAGATATCAAAATCTAAATAAACTATTCAGTATCATTGCAATTACATGTCAACATTTTAGTTTATAAAGCAGTTTTACTTAAGGCCTTATTCTCTTTAAGGAGGTACTCAGAATACTTTCATATAAAGAGAAATAATTAGTGGACTCACATTACTGTGGTAAACATGATGTTTTAGTTAAGCAGGCTTTGCACGCAAGGGTTAAAAAGCTAACAAAGACAATGTGTGATGAGCTATGATTTTTCAAATTCAGGTCAAGTATGACCTCTCTGGTAGGTGGCCCACTCCTCTCTTGTGCCCACTCCTCCACCTGAGTGGATCTGACCACACACTCAGGTCCCCTGAAGGCAGGGGTTGGGCCTTGCTCATCTTCCTAGGCCTCATTAAACCCAGCACAGAGCCTGCCACAAAGTAAGTAACTGATAAATGTCTGAAGAATTGATCACATGGACAATGCATAACAACATACACAGTTATTGATGGTAAGCAAAACTCAGAAAGACTTTGATTTATATCTTTGGCCAACTAAGAGATCATTATATATTTTATCTGCTCATTGATTTTTTAACAACAAGTTTTAAAGTAACATTAAAATAACATTCAATTAGCAAAAGCTGATTTGCACATACCTTTCAGGAGCATATAACAAAATAAGGGAAACCTAAATAAAGAAAACATATAAAGAGCTGCGACCACAGCAGCCAGGGACCTAAATGGCAGGCCTGGATGGGAAGGAAAGCCACGTGGAGGGGACAGGCAAGGCTGCAGGTGGAGGTGAGAGTGGCTCAGAGCACAAGTCTCAGGGGGTGAGGGGCTGTCTGGGAGCAGCTGGAGATGGGGCAGAAAGGCAAGGGCCCACCAGCATGCACGTAGAGGCTGGGGAGGAACATGGGAACTGCCACAGTTCCAGATGGAGGGCCATGAGGGGCGGAAGAATGCTTTATAAAGACCATTGCAGCAACACTGAGCAGGGGAACGAGCCGTCCCATCAACAGAGAGGACACAGTCAAAGCAATAAACGTGGAGCTTCACTGGGCATAAGTCACGCATGGGCTCTGTAGGGTATGGAGTGGCACAGGATGCTTATGACCACTAAGCGAGAAAAGATGGGGCTCTAGGGACTTAAGCAGAATCAATAACAGACTAAAGTCTAGTGCAACCCCAGACTCAGGTACAGCGGGGGCTCTGGGCAGAAGTCACACTGGTTGGGGGCTCAGGGATGGCACCATGCAGGGGCAGTGTGTGACGTGGGTGTTGAAAAATGGGAAGCTTGTTGACGTGTGGAGTACAGCATGAACTGGGAAGGCCTGGCAGGGCAGCGTGGGTGTTCAGTCAGGCAGCGGTGTGGGCTGGGCACAGGGAGGCAATGGGAAATGGGGCTAGTGACAGGTATTACTGAGAATGGGCCCTGAGTCTGGGGTAGGAAATTTATCTTTAATTTGTCAGGGAAGAGGGAAGATATTTAAGCAAGGAGAGATAACGCTAAGAGTAGCTCTAGATAAAGATACTCCAGAAATGAAGAGGGTGGGTGGCAGAAAGGATGGGAGCCTTGTGCTGTAGCCTGCATGGGAGATGGAGGGTCGGTGGCACTGGGTGAGGACAGGCCCAGGCAGATGGAAAAGATGGTGAAGGAGAAGGTGCAGGATACAGCAGCTGACGAGATGAGGGGCCGAGGGAGGGGCCACAGGGCATGTTTTCAGCCTATGGTGCCATCCCCAGAGATTCTTGGGAAGAAAAGCCTTATAGGAAGGAGCTGGTGATCCCACTGGAAATGGCAATGTGTGATGCCCCTGGGAGTCTTGGGAGCAGCGGGGCCAGGACAGGTAGTCTGGAGAGGGTTGCCATAGGTGGGGTCCCCAAGGGAGAGGGCTGACAAAGGTGGGGAGAGAGTGCTCCGGGCTGAAGAAATGCTGGGAAGTGAGATGAAGAAACAATGCCAGGAGATGACAGGGTCCAGAGGGAAGGAGGAGCTTTCAATTATCTGCCAAGGGGCGCAGGGAACTTGGGCAAAGAATGTGAGCCAAGCCACTGATTAGGGCCTGGGTGGGAACAGGAGGAGGAGGAGGAGGAGGAGTGGAGTAGGAGGATGAGCAGATGCAGGAGGCGGCTCAGGAGGAGGAGGGGGGACAGTGGAGGCGGAGGAAGAGGAGCAGGAGGAGGAGGAAGAAGAGGGGAGTAGGAGGAGGAGGAGCAGTGGAGGAGCCGGGGTGTGGGGAAGTTAGGCCCAGGCCAGCTGGTGGATCCTGGGAGGGCAGGTGAGATGAACCAGAGGGCATTTGCCTGCTAAAGGGAGGTGGATCACAGAAGTGCAGTTTGATGGTGCAAAGTGGACCAGGCAGAGGGGAGATGAGTTGTAGAGAGAAAGGAGTAGAGGGTGAACAGCGGAGGCTGAGGGCCAAGAGACTGTTGCAGAGGGAGGACCCTGGAGCTGGCCCTGATGACCCCAAGACCCCAGTCTGTGTGGGCAGGGGCTCAGGGAGTCTGGCCTGAGGCAGGTCTGCTCTCTCAGGCACAGCCCCATTTCACAAGCCCACTGCAGGTGTCCCCAGGGCCCCCTGATGGCTGGTTCCAACCCTCCACCACTGAGTACCTTGATAAGCCCGCTCTCGTTTCTTCTTTTCTGTGTCAATGTACTGCTCAGACGCTGCCTTGATCTTCTGGACCCAAGCCGTCCTGCAGGAGAAGCAGAGGCAGCTGTTGATGGCTTCTGTGCAGAGCCACAGAGTTCAGTCCTCTCTTACGAGTCCTCTTTCACTAGCCTCGGCTTTAACAAGTTGCCAATCACAGACCTAACTTCAGTGCAACCCAGAGACTAGTTTGCTGAATGAGGATGGAGCTGAGGATTTCCAACAGTTCTTGACCACTTACAGAGCACCAGGCACTTGCCAGGTGCTGGACCAGAGTCAGAAGATGCGATTCACCACCTGGACACCAGTTCAGCAGGAGGCTTCTACCAGACAAGTGCGGGCACAGAGGAGCAGCAGCTCCCCCGCGGCCTGCCACAGCCCAGGCACGCTCAGAGCCACAGCTGGAGGAAGCGTGTCTGACCAGGAGAGGGGAGGAAGGTGCTCCTCACTGAGGTCCACGGGTGGGCAGAGGCCGTGGGTGGAAGGAGGGGCTAAGCTGTGAAGCAAGTGGACTGTCGCCGGACGGCATCCCCTAAAGGGATTTTAGGAGGGACTGAGGCGTTGGCCCTGCCATTTGGGAAGAACAGGAGGAGTGGGCATGAGGAGAGGCTGGAAGCAGGACAGCGTGTTAGAGGAGGTGGGACTGGAGCGGAGGGCATGTGTTACGAGAGGTTGAGGATATAGAATTAGTAGGGCTTCAGCATGGATGGAGACAGGTTTTTGGCAGAGGGAGACATCCAGGTTGCCTCCCAGAGTCCACGGCAGGTCACACATGGTCAGGACTGACCTCTCATTAATGTTGTCTGTTCGGAGGGTGTAGACCCGATCAATGTGGGAAATGTGGAAGACAGGCTCATCGCTGGAAGGGTCTGTGGGCAGTTTCACCAAGACTTCATTCAGGAAAATGGGCTGAAAGAATTAGGGCCAAAATACAGGCTGTGAGAGGGGCCACAACACTCCACCCACATGTCCAGAGAGTTCTGTCTGTGCTGAAGAGCCTTGCTGAGAAGTAGAAAGGGGTCTAGGGTCTAAGGTCTTTTACACAGAAAACAATGAGACGGCCTCCACTTTGTAAAATACATGTTGAGGTGGATTAGGTGTTAGGGGACCAGGAAGGGGAGCCTTAGTGCTGACTGCTGAGGCGGAGGCTCTCTCCTCTGCCCACTGACAGCTGCTGGTGCTTCAGCCTCCATTTACAGGGAGCTCTGATACTACGTGTGGACAGAGACAGGACCAGGTGTCATGTCTGCCATTGTTGAAGCCAAAATTCAAGGCTGGCATCTGGCTGCTGGCCATCAGTGGGCAGTGAGGGTCCAGCTACACTGGGGCCCCTTCCCTTGGGAGCTGGCAGAGGAAGCCACGTGGACACAGGCAAACAGAGTCCCCCAAGCACAGCTGGGGCTCAGCAGGAAGGAGGTCTGTAAGGTAAAGGCAGAACCTTGTCAGGCCCTGATGCCACCGCCAGGCATGAGACACTCACCGTTTTATACATTTTGAATTGAGCGTTGGACTTGGAGCTGAAAAGTTTCTCAGAGCCAGAGGAAACGGCAAACTGCTTGACCATGTAGGTAAGAAGCAGGAAGTCATTGAAGAGGAATCCATGTAGTTCCTTGTTACTCTTGGTCTTGTATAATTTCCCACTGTGCAAAAGCTTCCGGGGCCCCAGACAATTGGTAAGGGAGTTGAAAATAAGTTGCTGAAGGAGAAAGAAGATGTCACCTTTTAAGTCCCAGCAGAAATCATCCCGGCATCCCTGAGAAGGCAATACCCTGGGCCTGCCAGCACTGTGGTAGAATTTTCTACCTGGGAATGAGTCTACAATCATTCACCTTCACACAAAAGCTCTGTGCACTTATTACTCTTCAGAGTTCAAAGTGGCTCAATGAAAACTGTTACTTGTACCCACAGAATATTGATTCTAGCAGGAGAAGGCAAAGAACTCAAAACAAAAAACTAACCTCTGTAAGCAAGGAAGATGACAATCAAAGGAGGAGTGTCTCTGTAGGGCAGGATGGTGAGTCCACACCAGGGCAAGGCTGGGAGCTGGCTCCCCACCCAGAACCCCCTAATGGCACCCAGCTAAACAGTGTGGGCCTCACCTCCGCCAGACCTTCGCACTGGACGTGTGCCTGAATCCACTCCAGTCGGTCTGAATTTTCCTTCTCCCGAACTCCCTCATTAACTTGAGAGCAAAGCTCCTCTGCCCGTTCGAGGGCCAGCTTTAGGGAGGAATGGTCTACGTGATTCTCCGGGGTGTTCTCCAGAATCTGGAAAAGAGCAAGCTGCTTCATATAGGATGTACTGTTTCACTCACCTACCCAGCCATTCACTTCACTGCTTGTCTAGCCAAATTTTGACTGCTTGCATGAGCTTGGTGCTATTGTAGGCACTGTAAATACAACGGTGAACAAGGTAGTAGTTTTTGTTCTTGAGAAGACCATGGTGCCACAAGTTCTTGGGGGAGATAGGACAGGTAACTTAGTCACAAAAGAGTAAGACAAGTGCTAAATAGATCATTTCTGAAATTTAAGGGCCTCTGGTTACTTTCTGACTGGGTTTTGGCAATAGGCCTTGTACTAAAGGGTACCTCCATACCTGCCCCGCCCCAGTTTAAGCCATGTACCTTTAGAGTGAGCCCTCCACTATAAACTGGCTGCAACCTTATAAGTGTTAACTTGCTCAAAGCAATGGTTCATAACATTTTTAGAGTCACTAAATGCATTTTCAAAAATCTGATGAAAGTAATGACTTCCCTGCTACAAGAAAACATACAGTAAAATCATGTTAGCATGTAGGAAAAAACGCATTCAGTTTATTCTGAAGTGATTTCAAGTTACTTTTGCTACAAACGTAAATGAATAGAGGCCAGAACACAACTGTGTGGTCACTCCGGAAATCAGCGGCCTTCCCACACGACTCTGTCTGGGTTCTCACAGTCCAGGTGGCTGGGTCCATAGTCCTTTGTTTACAATTTTAATGTACAAAACGGTCTGAAAGCCTGAAGTTTTTATTCAGGGAGAAAGTGACCCTGAATGGACAAGATGTATTTACTTATTCTACTTCCAGGGATTATCTGTGTATTTCACTGTAGGAATAGCAGTGTGTTTGGATGTAAGTGATTCCCCCGGCTTAGATGGGGTGTAACATAATATGTGGCATTAGATTACATTTTTTTTTTTTTTTTTGGTACAGAGCCTCAAGCTGTCAACCTGGGTAGAGTGCCGTGGCATCACAGTTCACAACAACCTCCAATTCCTGGGCTTAAGTGAGTCTCCTGTCTCAGCCTTACAGGTGCCTGCCACAACGCCCAGCTATTTTTTGGTTGTAGTTGTCAATGTTTGGCAGGCCCGGGCTGGATTCAAACCCGCCAGCTCTGGTATATGTGGCTGGTGCCTTAGAGCTACAGGAGCTGAGCCTTGAATTACATTCTGAATTCTGAGACATACATGGCCCAAAATATTTCAGTGAAGGGACTATGGACCCGTATACTGGGCCAGGCTGGGAGAGACATCTGCAACGTGAGAACTCTGATGAGTTCAAGACCAAAGGTCAAGGAATAATCAATAAAAGCAACAGTCGTATTATTCCACGCTGTTTTCTTTTGTAAACTGCCACGTATCAAAGATTAGTTGTGGAATAATCCATTGTCAAATTTGGCTTCTCCTTATAAGTCATACTGGCTCAAGAGGCCTACATTACTCATATCAAAAATAAAAGTAGATGGAATTTTAGAAGGCATGTGTAGTCACAAGCTGAAGATATAGCAAGGGGACGATAAAGAACTCTGTTCAAGACCGGCTGAGACTCCTGAGGCATCTAGGTAAAGGTGTTCAGTTGGTAGTTGAATGTAGATCTTAGGAGGAAGATTGGAGCCCAAGGTTATGCCAATGGCAGACTCTGCCCTATTTCTCTGGGAGCCACAACTGGACCTCTGGGTCTCTTATCCTGCCTAGACAAACATGCTTGAGACTCTGAGATGCTGGGGGAAATTCTAGAAGGTGTTGATAGGTAACCCAAGTGACAAGATGCCTATCTTAGTTGCCCACTTCAAGGATTTGGCGCTTTGGACTGTATTTGTATGCTCCTGTGCATACACACATGAGCACACCCAGATGCCCAGCCCATTGGCAGTGGGGTCCCTTCTGTATTGCCACACCATGTGCAGGGGTGGGTCAGCAAACTCAGAGGCTCCCGGAGTATCCAGCCTCTGTGACCCTCAGTGGGTCCTGCTTCTAGGCAGCTTCTAGCTGCCCTGGCCTGTGCACTCACACTTCTGATGAGCAGGGGGTAGCGGGTGATCCTCTGCATGGGTTTCAGCAGGAAGCTGGACAGGGGCATTCCTTTACAGCGAGGGTCAGACGCCAGCTTCTGCAAAATGATCGAGAGGCGTGAGAGGAAATCCTAGCCCCAACTAAAACAAAGGAAGCACGGCCATATTCCCGCCTGTGACTACCTTATAGACTTCAAACTTTTTTGATTTTATTTTTCCTAATTTTTTTTTTTTTTTTTTTTGAGACAGAGCCTCAAGCTGTCCCCCTGGGTAGAGTGCTATGGCTTCACTGCTCACAGCAACCTCCAACTCCTG